GATGAATCAGCCTGACACACATATCATCATTGCAAGACGGCTCTACAATACGTGATTGACAGTGGTCTCTGTTTCGGATTTTCAGACTGGAAAAACATTAAAAAAACTGGACACCAAAACCAGTTCCTGAACAGACTGGAGGATAGCGATGCGTGGATGGTAGATCGGGCAGGCCAGGTCATAAAAATTAACATTCTTATTATTAGTAGACTAGATGCAGTTGGAAGAAATAATACATCATTAATAAAGAAAATATCATTTACAGCCTCTAAAATATGAAAATTTTAAGTCCGGTATGAACCACTTTCAGGGTCTATTTGTCTTAAAAGGGGAAATTTGCAGATTTTCATCCAGCTTTGTATCATTACAGTGTCGGCAATCCTCACATCATCATGCTTACATATATCCTAAAGGGGGAGTAAAATGTATACACGGGTCTTAATCGGAGAAAAAAATTCCGCAATTGGAAAACAATTTAGCCGTATCAGTAGGTTTTTGTCTGTCTAACAAGCATAATGTTTGCCTGCAGTATGTAAGTGTGCACTCTAAGTGTGCTGTGTGTGTATGTGATCATGTGTGCATACCGTACTACACTTGGCAGATGTCTTAATTAACTTGAACAGCCTGTTCATCTAAATCAGACTCGTGCTGTGATTTATTTTTTCACTATACACTCCAAAGCAAAGAAAAGTGACATTTCCAGGTCTGAGCTGACAGGAATTAGTACAACTACACATGTACAAACACAGTGGTGGGAAGTAACCGAGTACATTTACTCAAGTGCTGTACTTAAGTACATTCTGAGGTACTTTATGCTACTTTACACTTGACTACATGTATTTGACACATTTAGTTACTTTAAAATCAGAATGTTAATCAATAAATAAAATATGAAAACTCAAAAATCTGTTTAATATACTTTAGTAAACTTAACTTTGTCACTGTTCCAGAATGAACACATATTCAAGATCTTAATATGTAATATGTACCTTGAACACAGCTCCACAGGTGTATTACCATATACTGGATACTGCTTTCCAAGATGGTGTCAGACTCATTCCAATGAGAGTTGCTCACTGTACAGCAAAAAGATTTTTAAGGCTTCCTCGGGCTAACATGTATTTGGCCCACAGAGCTCATTATAGTCCTCTGGCTGACTTCCCGCACACACAAATGTCATCAAAACTTTTCAAATTTAATTGGATCAAATTTAATTGGATCTCAAATTGAGATAATACAAACAGTCATGTCAGAGTTCTTGTGACTCACACCTAAGTTCATTCATCCTGGTTTCTGTCTCTCTGGGACTCAAAACACTGTGAGATGCTCCCATTTAAAATTTCCACTTTATTACATAAGGAGAAGAACAGTGTTTTGAGCCCAGATTGGCTCCCCATCAAGTACGGAGAAAACAAGGAGAGTTGCACAGTGTTTCAAGTCCTTAGGAGGCAGAAACCATAGCCATGTTTTCTTGGACTCGTGACACGTTTTTGGGGCGTTAGTCGGCATCATGTGATACAGCTATACTGACTGATTGGTGATTGGATTTAGTGCTGCACTTCCAGTGATGTAGGAGGTGTAATTGCAGATAGAAATCCTCCAGCAGCCATGTCTTAGCCAATAGTCTCAGAAACTGATTTATTTAAAATGGCAGTGGTGCTTGTTGTATTTGATTGAAATTAAGACTAATTGGAGGTTCAACCACACATTGGAGACATTGGAGGTTTAATTTAAGCTTTAATTTAGTCCTGGAGTAACTCCAATCTTCTTTTGGGACTATGGACTTCTTATCATTCACATTATTGTGGGAAATGCATCCAAACACCTTCCCCTTTACTGCATATATGGAAGTCGAGTTTAAAACTGGGTACATTTGGTTGTTTTTGTTTCAACAGCATCACCATGACTATATCTTATGTTATATGTAGTTAGACTCTTACTGAAATGTTGTCATTTGAGAGTCCTGCATTGTAGCTATAATCTGAATGACAGAAATGGTTTGAGAATCAATATGTCTCTGCAGAATGAAATAAAGAATCACTTTTATATGATTCCTGACTGCTTTCTTACTGCAAAAAGGGACGAGTTCTGTAGCTCTGGTTGTAAATTAAATGTGTTCTACGTGTGAAAGCAAAGCTAAAAATAAGAGCTGACTGACTTCTCCTTTCTGGCCAATTTAATCTCCCTCTTCTTCCTCTTCTCTCCCTGCTGCTATGAAACTGCGAGGGCAGAGTGCAAATGATTCACAGAGAGAGGAAAACATTCAGGAAAGCTTTGAGGTTACAAACTGCAGGCTCCCTCTTGTACCACAGCGCTCCCTCGCTGAACTCAAAACCTTCGACAGCGGCAGCAAAATGACACTCGGCCTGACAGATTTTATTTCACTTCACTGACTCAACGTTTTTATGAAGTGGGCTGTTCATTTAACAAAATGGTGGCTTTTGGCTCAACGAGCTATTATAGATTTTTCTGGTTGAGTAACACACGGATGTGTTAAAAAAATTCAAAAATATTATGTACCTTTTTGCCCCTCAGCCCCAGAGTCTGTGACATCTTCCTCTGTTCTCCCATTAAGCATAAAGCCCACAGATCAACTTCTTTTGCCACTGAAACATCTCCTGGCACAGAATGACCTCTGCCCTCCTAATTGTTGCTTGGTTTTTAAAATCACAATTAGCTCTAAAATGATTTAATTAATCTGTCAAGCGACAAAACATTGGAGGATTTGCTACATTTATTTGTTTCATATCTTTGTAAACTGAATATCTTTGCATTTTTGACTGTTGGTCTGGCTAAGCAACGTAGTTCAAATGCTATTTTAGGTTCTGGGAAACTGTAATGGGTGTTTTTTTTTTTACATTTTGTTTAAGTTACATTTAAGAATATCAGACAGCTAGTGGCAGTGACATGGCAAGAAATATAGCAATGAACCAAAGATAGGAAGAAAATAATTGCGAGTCAGCAAACATGAATATAAAAACAATCTAGTATAATACTTTCCTATTTCCTGCATTTCATGGCAAACTATTCAATTGTTACTGAGATATTTCACTCAAAACCACAAATGTGAACCTCAATATATTTCCTAGAAGACAGGTTTGAAAGGTGGTTGGATTTTGGAGTCAGTGAGCAGAGCAGATCATCGGGGGAAGGTACCATGGGAGGAAAAACACCGATACTGACCTTCAGTTTCACCAGAACAGAGCACAATACAGTTCAATAAATCGTATCTTTATCTTCTCAGAGGAACAGCCCTTTGAAAAAATCGAAATACACCGACAGCAGAGCCGAGTTTAATCGGAGTGGAGACCCTTCTTGGTTACTTCGATATGTCAACCTGATATTTTGAATAGTTTCAAAAGTGAAAAATGCTACAAGCTCGGAATTAATTTTCCATCCAGTCTGCTGCAGCAGCCTCCATATTGTACAATAGAAACAAAAAAAAACGTGTTGCCTCAGGGGGAGTTACCAACAAGTCCAGCTGAGGCAAATCATTCTGACATGGGTCACTGAATTCATCATCTCAGCTACCATTCGTCTGGGGTCGGAAAACAGCCTCAGTGCTGAAAAGAGCACACAGCAGGATGCTTTAATGAATCTGCAGGTCCAACACAAGACCAAACAGCCAGACCACTTTGTTCTGCAGCCCAAATCAGCCACAGGCCTGTTTGTTTTAGGTCTCCATGTGGCAAGAGCACGTTAAATGAATAAATAACAATGTTTAACAATTACATTTAGCCTATATTCCTGTCATATTCAAATTTGTCTATTATGATAGTCCTAAAAGTTTCATTTTCTTTAAAAAAAAAAAATGAAATGAAAATGAAAATTGTAATAATTGTTATAAGGACAAATAAATAATAAATACAGTAAATTAAATGATAAATTAAATATTTGACAAAAGCCTTTTTGTGTGCCGTGACTCCTTCTTGTTGCAAGTTTCCAGCAGCGTAGACGTACGAGTTACTCATTATTTTGCAAAGTGCAACTGTCAGAAAAACATGTCTGTGTCAATAAAAGGAATTGATAAGCTCAGAGGCTGCAATTTTGATGGATCAGACTACATTGAACCATTCCAGGAGAACCAGTTCTCAATTCCCATGCCAGAGTGTGGAATTCAATTTGTAAAAATACATCTTAACTCCAGGTCCACTTCTTAGTTTTTTAAAGCTTTCAGCTGCATCTCATGGTCCTCATCAGTTAATGGAGTTTGCTCTGCTGAGATGGGGTTGAAGGCTCCAGGAAAAGCTAGTACTGTGGACCTTGAGATATTTTGTCACAGAGAAGAGTTAGTTCACCCAAATTACAAAAAAAACAAACAAACAAAGACTTTCCACCTCCTCCTCCCACTTGGTATCTAGTCACGCAGATAGCTTTGGTCTTATTTGACCAGGTTTAGAGATATCCGACTCCGAATGAGGCAATGTCTGTTAGCAATGTTTTCCTCTGAATGTACAACACCAACCAATTATACTATTTTACAGCTCAGTGTGGAATAGTAATACCAGGAAATCATATTTCTTTTCAGTGTCATTACTGTAACATTTCCCTCCACATGACAAGTGTCTGCTGTGGAAAATATCAGAGCAAGTCTTTCAGTGTCAGAGTATCCCAGTAAGGCCTGAGGCGCGTCTGATTTTGATTTGCTGGTTTCATCGTCTGGACTGCAGCATAACGTCACCCTCCTCATTCCTCATCATGACGCTGACCTCGGCCTGACACGCCGCCGTCCGACCCGCAATCTCACATTTCTCTGAGACATTTACTGAAGGTTACAACCCCATTATGGAGCTGAAGTCTGTCGCTAACCAGATGAAAAGGGGAGGGAGAGGAGGTGACATGTTTTCTTGAGAGTTCTTGATCTTTCCAAAGACATACAAAGTGGAAAAACAAACAAACAAAGCTGGCCCAGCTTATTCCTGATCTAATATATTTCAGCTCATGTCAGTAAAGAAGTTATAAATGTGCAGTAGAGGAAGGAGATTAACGGTCCAGGGAGATGATGTCTGACTGAGTTTCACAAAGTAGACATGATGAAAGAAAAAGCCTGTTTTGCATGTTGTACTACTGACCCTGTTCTATATTAATCTGAGAGAGTGCACACTGTGCGGGGAGAGCTGTCAGTGCACCGAGAAAAAAGACAACAGAACGACCAACTACAACCAGTTTAACACTATCTATGGATTTAAACTAGAATACCTGCAGTGGAAATACAACAGAGACAGAAGTGAGAACGAGATCAGTTTATAGGATTCTGGCTGTATCCTCAACCCGGACATAAGGTCAAAGGTCAAACCTGGGCACGTCTGATCGGTCTGAACAGATTTCCTGTTTTTTTCCTGACCTGCTGAGTGCAGTGACAGACTAATGGGAGAGAATCTGTCATTAGGAATATGAAGCTGATCGGAAAATGCCTCCCTCTGTGGGTTTTTTGTCAGAGGATCCATTAATAATGTGGTTTGTCTCTCCTGGTCGGCACCAACGAGTCTGCAACAGACAAAATAATCAATGATGGGGGCCGATTCTTCGCTGTTTCACTGTGAAAACTGAGTTCAACTGTGATTGCAGGTGGGAAGATTTTACTACATGACATTTATATTACTTAATTTATAAATACAGAGCCTCATTATTTTTTACAAGCACTGCAACAATGCGCTGTCGATTAATCGATTAGTCGTTTGACGGAAAATTGATGACATTCACAGTCCCAATTCTAAAAAGTTTTATTTATTGCTTTTCTTTGTCTCCTCTTTTTATGCTTGTTTCTTTGTTGTTATAATAGTAATATGGATTTGGTTTTTACAGTTTTGGACTGTTGGTCAAATAAGATATGCTACAGAGCTGATGCCCCATGCACAAAGGCTGGGTTCTTACTGCAGCGGGCATTGGTCAACTCCAATCTGCGGTCCTTTGCTGTCATCCCCCCTCTTTCTCCCCCGTTCCTGTCCGCTAGAAAATATATTTAAAAACAACACCTTACTTTAAAACAACTTGGGCTAAAGGGAATTATAACAGGCATTTTTCAATATATTTCTTTGTTTTATAGACAAAATTATTACTTGATAATGACAATAATCCTTGGCTGCAGCCCTATGTTATACCAGTTTTAGTGTACATGGGTTAGGGATGCGCAATCAATAGAAATATTATCAAAATCGAACCATGGCCAAGTGCAACATCCAAATCACAGAGGCTGCAATCTTTTCCGGAAGGTAAAATGTGTGACAAAACAGCATTGTAGTGAAATACTGTAGTTCTGAAGAGATGCCCTGGCCTACAAATCTTGTTCTCCAGATTTAAGAAAACATGTTTGTCTGCTAGCAAAAAATATCACATCATCATGAGTTTTTTCAGTGATGATATTTTAAAAATTTCGTGCAGACCTATAAAGAGGTACTACGGCAAATGCATTATTGCCCTTTCTTAATAGTGACTCATAAGGAAAAGAATGGTGGAAATCGAAGCAGCAGAGGCTGGGACTTTTGGTCTCTAGTGTGGCTCAAGCTCCAAAAACATTGGATACTACATTTCCCATTATAAAACTCAACAGCATCCGTCGTTAGACCCTCCCTGCCTGGTGAACGCCCACGATTTTCAAACCCCACGCCAACAGGTTGCACCACAGACTTCCTGTTATAAATGTTTAGTCTCAACCTGAGATATGTCCTGATGACATCACTGTGACACCGATCAGGGTTGTTTTCTCAGACTTGACAAAAGCTTAGACATTATTCAGCTGTTTTGTGAAGGCTTAGTGGTGAGAAAGGTTGCATCACATCTATGGGGAGCGTTCATAGATGCATTATAGAGCCATGGGAGCGATGAAGAGTACTGATGTGGAAACAGCTGATCAGTCATGTGAGCCATTAAGTGCATTAAAAACTACCTCAATTGAGCGTGAAAGAGTTTTTCTTTTGATGAAATCGAGGATGTTTGTTTAGAGTTTTGCCATTTCCATCAACCCTCTCCAACGTGTGGGTAAAAATACCTTGATGGACGGATATAGATTCTGCAAGTCCCACCTGGTGTTTTGATTGCAACTGAGAGGAGCACTGTCTTAAATTCTCTCTCCAAAAGCTCCCACGGGTTTTCAGTTCAGATCTGACTGTAGAGGACTATGATTTTCATCCTTAGCTCTCTGCATTCAGTACATTTCTCTGCTCGTTTATTCAGGCTTTTCCTTTTATTTATTACCTGTCTAGATGAGGCGATTAGTGAAAAATTCTCCACCGAAGAACACCACGAGCCCAGAATGCCAAAGTACATGACCAGCGGCTGTTTTCCTCGGCAGCATTTTGTCTTTGACCTCAACCAGCTCTTCGGTGATACATTGTGTAACCTCACTCTGAGTACAAAAGCTTTCCCAGGGGTAAATAAAGAAACTACATAAAAAAATTATTAGCTGGGTAGAAAAATGTGAGCAAGGGGGAAAAGAACCAGGCATGTTTGCAGTTCAAAGAATTAGCGAATGCGTCAGACCTGAAGCTTCTTTGTCTGAGGGCTTCAATTAATGAAACATGACTCAGAATTCGCCGACCCTCCTGCTCAGCTCCTCTTACCGCCGGTTTCTTCTTTTGTCAGCCTGGCAGAGGTGACTCGTCGGGTAATGGCTTTCTGTAACAGCTGGAGGGGGTCAAGGGGTCATGTGACAGTAGCCTCGGGCCAATCAGCAGCCACAGAGTGCTCAGCATTCCTGAACGTCTATGCATTGTTTGATATTGGATAACCCTGATTCTCCCACTGCCCTTTTCACAACATCACCTTCACTACAGCCTGACATTTGTGGTTCGAGAGCCGACATTCTTTTCTTCTTCCTTCAGGCACAGGAGGAATTAATGTTAACAGGCTGTAAAGTCAATCCAATCGTATTACATCTCGTGTATCTGTGCCTAGCTTACATTTTAAACATTAAATATAGCAGCACTGATGGAAATTTATCAAAAGACGTGCGTAGCCGTCCATCACTTCTACCTGTATTGTTTCAAGGAGGTGAATGTAAACAATTTCCACAGTGCCATGCCATCATATTTAAAATATGCACATAAATAAATTAGTTTATGTAAAGTCCTTTTTCACCTTGTTGGTGTCCAAATGTTTCCCGTTGCCAGATGTTCACTTTTTTTACCACATGGTCAACAAGGTCTTCCAGCTTCAAAGTCGGATATGCTCCAAAACTGACACCTGACTGCGAATATGGTTCAGAATACCGGGGCAATATAGCGGGCCTCTGCCATCAGTGTATGGATGTGTAAATGTGACGTGTAGTGTTGGAGGACTAGAAATATAAGTGCAGTCCATTTACAATTCTATTTATACTATATTTCGTGTCTACATATGCAGACGCACGTGTGGACTGTCCACATAGAAGTAAAGGACGATTTGGGCTTCAGAAATCACCAAATCAACAAAGGTTCAACAAAAGGTGTCGTTGGAAACTGTTTAGAAGAGCGAAAAAATATATATATATGTATAAAGCCGTCAGCGCCGTTCTTTGCTTTTCAATGACGAAATACTCTCCACTTCTGATATAACTGATGCTAGCAGCATCTACGGTAACATCTTTAGCAGCTGCCATCGTTGTTTTCGACCTGTGGCTTATGCCGTAGCTTCTCAAAGGACGCAGATTGGTCTAAACCAGTGAGGTTTGGACATAAGTGCAAGCTTGAAGCCTGGCAAGTCCACGACCATGCTAGCAGCTCTATATGGCTGGGGTTTTGGCATAATGTTATTAGTTATGTAGGTATTTGGTCATAAACCAAAGTATTAGACAAAGTAAAGTTTTGACCTGAGGATTTTGCTTGATGAAAACTAAAAGGATACTCAGAGTTATTACAAATCATCCTGAGGAGGAACATGAATGTTTGAACTAAATTTCACATTGGCAAAATTTTTGATTGAAAATAAACTGCTCTTAATGCGTTTAAACAACCTTGTGCTACAATATGATTTTTTAAACAAATCTTGAAGGAGTCCTTGTTCAGATGACTCTTATCAGTGGAGACGGAGCTTCTCTCTGGCTGAACACAAGAGGACATGACCGAGTCATCTGTCATCTGGATCCCTTCCTGCTTGTTATCACTTCAGACTCAGCAGCCCGCTCTAAACCACTCGCAGCTAATGGCGCACTGAGGGCTGAGACGGTGGCAGTGGCCGAGTCCATGTTGGCTGCAGGCGATGGAGAGAAGCAGGCCGAGCTCAAAGTTTGAGTAACAAGCTTGTACAGCGGCAGTATCATGTGAGTGAGCGAGGCAGAGATAAGGGCTGTTCACAGGGGACGTGCATTATGTGAGGATGTCGTCTAATTACAGAATAAACCTCTACAGCTGCATGAAAAAACACCTGCTGCTACAAAGAGAGCAGGAGTCAGAAATCAAATCTTTACAAGATAAAGAAGACGTAGCAGGAAATGAAAATGAAGACGAAGAAGGACGTGTAGAAGATGAAGAAGAAAAAATTAATTACCAGCCTAACATTAATTACGTCTTAGAAGGCATTACAGTTTTACTTTTATCTGCTTCCTCCAAAATATGTAAAGCAACTTATTTACGAAATTCGACTGACGACAAATAATGAGCAAATCCGTTGCTCCATCAAAGCTAGAACTATGAAAAAGGACTTATACCATTAATGGTTTAATAGTTTTCTGTTGATTGACTAGCGATTAAATCAACTATCAGCCTTAAATCAGTTTGTTAGTTAGCTGCATTTATTCCAGACTGCAAAGATAGGAAGGTTAAGAAAGAAGGTTCAACTATGGATAAAAGTATAAATAAATATATATATAATATAATAAATGATTATTTCAAGGATTTATTTTTGATAGTTTTCAGACTGTCTTAGCCTGATAACCTATATTTACTTTAGGGCGTTCACTTTCATTATCAATCAATCGTCTTCTCAGTTATTTTGTCAACTACTTGTTTGGTATACGGTTTCCCAGAGCTTCCCAGAGTGACTTATTCAAATGGCTTGTTCTGTCAGTCCAAAAAAAACCCCAATTCATTCTTGCTACTTCATTTTCTATCAACTAATCGATTATAATCAACTAATCATTGGTTTCAGTTCATTCATTCAGCCTGACATTCATGTCTTGAATGAAGCTACAGTAACAGTTAAGAGTAATGATCATTGTTCAACTTTTTTGTCATCACTTTTGTAGCCTTTGACCTGTCACTATTCTTCTTGGATTTAGCTAGCTGTCTATGTAGGACAATAATACTTAATACTGCCTACAAAGCCGTGATTGGTTGATTGTTGTTCTAACTGGGGGGGAAAGCTGTTAATGTACACAACACCAAAGGTACTTGAACCATTGATCTAAAGGTCTGCACTTATATATCTTAGATAGATAGATAGATAGATAGATAGATAGATAGATAGATAGATAGATAGATAGATAGATAGATGAGTGTATCATTATTAGGACAGAGGGGGTTGTTTATAGTGTTTGGGGGGGTGTACCATGTTGTTTGGGGTCAGCGGTGTTTGGAAGTCTCTGCCTTTGTTCAAATCTCATCAAGTGTGAAAATCGGGGGCAGGCCTGAGGCCCTCTGCATCATCGTCATGTCTCTGCTCCAACAGATCATCCGACATAACAAGCAAACATTTGAAACATTAACCTTAGTGTTGATTGTTGGGGGCTCTCACTCTCATTGCAAACAGGGTTATGAGGGCAGAGATGTAATTTACACGTTGCATGTTTGGGGAGGCACAGAGATAGACTTGTGAGTGGAAAAAGCATAATTTCCTGCTGAGATCAACAACTTAACAAGCAGTTGACGATGACGTTTTTTCGTCTCTGGGGAGCTCTGGGAGCTATGACATTAAACATGCTCAGGAGCAGTGACAGAAATTAATCCGGGACTTTATATTCTATTTCTGATGAACGTCGGATATGTTTGTATGCTATAAATGCATTCGACTGTTGTCAGTAAACACAAAACAAAACAAAAACACAACAACCCAAAAAAGAACCCTGAAGCAGAGTTAGAGAGGTGTTTCCATAGGGCTCAGTACTATTTGAGTACGAACCAAAATGTGTCTGTAGCATCGAGAATCAAAAACTGTAAAATTAATGAACATCTTGGTTTTGTTTAATTACTCACTCAACTCACGATTCAATACAATTCATCAAACAATTTTCTTACAAATTATGACTGCAATCTACAAAATATATTTTCTCTTATGCTTTGTCAAATTATAGAATCTTTTTTTTTTATTATTTCTGTGGAAGGATATAAACTGTGCAAAAGGATTTCCTTTTGTGAAGTGAAACTGATGTAATGTCTTCAACATTGCGATATCTTTACACTCTTACTGCTTTGTGTTATAACAGACATTCAGCTATTCTGTTAAACTCAAAGAAGGGTTTTGTAGAGAAAAACATTTATATATATTCTATTTCTGTAGCATTACCAACACTATTTTACATATTGTCACTAGTATAGAAAACTTTCAACATATAGCATACAAGGTCCGCCAGATAAGCCTCCAATTCTGTCTTTATTTGATATAATGGCCACTAAATGTGACATAACAGCACTCAAAAGTATTTGTTAAAATCCCTGTGAAAGCTATTTCACTCCAAATCCCCAGGTTTGTCGTGGTGAACACAAAATGTGTTCAAACTGTTTATTTTAGAGGGTTGCAACTAACAATTATAAATATTATCCACCAATCTGTTGGCGCTATTATTTGGTATGTATATAGGAACATCATCAGCACTGACACCAAACCAAGAAACTAAATGTGGAACCAAAACCAAAATCTCCCCCAAACCACGACAGCTAAAACCAACTGAAAGCAGAACCATTACATGTGTATTCAAGGCAATCTGGCCTCATTCAGTCTAATGACCCAGAACAGATGGCACAGGTTCACATTTCCTAGTTAAGATGGTGACTAGAGAGTGTTTGACTCTGCAATCTGAGCCAAAACACTGTGCAACCTCCAGTGATTTTGAAATTAGCGGTCACTCATCAATCAGCTATTGTATACAGACTGTAAATCTAATAACACCACTTAAAACAGATGCATCCATCGGTTTAATTAAATGAGAGAGATAATAATGTGAAAACAATGTTTCAGCTGGATCTGCGGCTCCCCTCGGCTTTGCAGAGCTTCGTAGCGAGTTGAAGCTCATTGTTTAGCTGTCCGGCCCACAACTTTACTGTTTTGGTTCGCTGTCACTGCTCTCATAGCGTCGTTTTCAGAGTAAAAGCGAGTAAAAATCCACAATACACTATACCTTCTCAGCAGCAAACAGCAGACAGACACAATTAGACTAGCAGGTGAGCATTAATGGAGCTTTTAGCAGCCAAAATGCCACAGGAGTTGGTGGAGACCAAAAACAAAGCTAAAAGAGAGTAAATACTGGACAAACATGACTCTAAATTAATGATCACGTTGCTCCGTAACTGCTGGATGTGGAAATAAGAAAGTGTTTGCTAAGAAGTTCAACATTTCATCTTAAAAGGCATAAAAAAAATAGTTATTGCAGGTTTAAGGTGGAAGACTTGGACTGGAGTTTTGTTCTTACTGTTACAGTAGTGACTGCTGGCATATCACGATCAAGGACAACAGGTTACAGTTTAACTTTAAACTTACAGTCCTGCTCAAAGTCAAATATTACCTCTTTGAATGGTTTTTACCTGGTTCATTAACTCCTAACAGTTTCCCCCAATTGAATAAATGAATCTCTTTCACTTCCCTGTCAGACACAAACAAACAAACCAACATAATAATCCTATAAAATACAGCTAATGCAACCCTCTTTCTTTCATTTGGCATCACTTTAATTCAACTATAACGGTCTTATGGGTCACATGCTGGAGGGAAAGTCCAGCATCCGGCACTTTCTGGTTCCTGGCTGCACAGTACTGCATTCATGACAGAAAGAGAAACTGTGGGGCACAAATTTTAAACCTGTGTGCAACATATAGGAGGCAGAAATGGAATATAATATTGTTTTCATTAGTGTATAATCACCTGAAAATAAGTATCATTATGTTTTTTTATCCACAGATGGAACAGCATAGTTTCTCCTTGGTGCTTGGAAGGGGAGGGTGAGGCGACAGAGGTGCGATCTGCAACTAGATGCCACTAAATCCTACAAACCGGAGCTTAAACTACTTATTCTAGTTTAAAAAGACACAAAATAAAAGCACATATTGTGTTTTTGTCAGACAGGAAGCAATTTTCCTTTTCACCTTGGGAGAAAATACCAAAATTCCCACATGTGCAAACATTCGCAGGCTGTTTATTTACTTGTGATACTTGTTGGCCTTTTAAAAAAAATCCTTGTTTCATGAGGAACTATGATATCTGTCTGGTTCACAGTAAATTCACTTTCATTTTCATTGCACTATTTCCAAGTGAGGAAAGGCCACAAAGGGGGTGATGATGGAAACCCCCCCTTTCCTTCTCTCCCCCCCCCCCCGGCCTCGCCCCTCTCCTCTCCGCCCTCGTTTGGGGATGCAGGGGCTCATCAGTATCTCTGGACCAGGCCCGTGTTACCTCTGCTGAAGCCTCTGACACACACACACACACACACACACACACACACACACCGCTGCATCGCATTATATAAAAGCCTGAAATTGCTTCCAGCTGGCTGCGAGTAAACCTGGTCCCGACTGAGCCCGGAGAGGAGAAACTGAGAGGAAACAAAGCGCTCCGCTTGCACAATTATTTGTCCAGTGCGCACACAGTGTTGCACAGCAGCGCACATTGCCCCGACTCTGCAGTGCAGTTTTCAGTTCAGACTCGAAAACCCTGCTGCACTGCATGTGTTTTCTACAACCCAAAATGGACAAAACTCTCTCACTTTCACTGCTTTAAAGCTCCCTTCAGCTCGTAGCTGCTTAATGCGCTTAATTACGAAGAGGCAGAGCGTTTCAGCTGGAGATAAAGTCGTCTGTCTTGACAGTGCGTGGAGCTGTAGTGGATCTGCTGGGACTTTAAAGCCCTGACAGTATTTTTGTTGTATTTATTTTTGGTAGTTTTTCTCCAGTCCGGGTGTGATGGGGGTGGTGATGATGCTGCACGGTGCGCCCCTGTCCTGCCCTGCGCATCCTCAGCGTGCACCAACCCGGACAACAAAACCCCGAGGGACGCCGAGAGAGAGGAGCAACGCAGCGAAACAAGAAGAGATGGAGACAGAGAGAGAGAGAGATGTTGGTGGTGGTGGGGGGAGGTTGGAGAGAAGGGATGGCCGTCCGGCATGCAGGACTCACCAGTCGGTGTCCGAGGTCTCGTCAATGACGTCCTGGTAGGCGGTCAGCAGGGCCAGTCTGTTCTTGCCGAGATTCACAGCCATGTTTCTGTCCCTGCAAGCATCCAGACCGCTGCTGATGGAGAGAGACACGAAATGAGACTACAGAGAGGACGGAGAGGAGGAGGAGGAGGGAGGAGGAGGAGGAGGCTCTGACTGGTGGAGACAAAGAGACGATCACGGTGTCCGTAGGGTCCTAGCGCCGGTATGTTACCGGATATTGGCTGATGGGTCCTAGTGCCGGAGAGTCAACTTTCATTATAATAAGTAGTTTAATTGTAGTAGTAGGACATTTTTCAAGTATTTACTTCAATCAGAAGGAAATGTTGTACATTACATATATTTGAGTAGTTGCTATTCAAATTATTAACACAAAATAATAACAAGCAAATTATCAATACGACTTTAATGATTATATAAAGTGAGATATATATTAAATATTTAGGAATACATTTAAGTTGCAACACATTAATTCATCAATAATCATAATCCCATAATATAATCTACATTATTCTGCTCTTCAGCTAATTGACTATTTTTACTTTTGGTACTTTTATATATGTATATATTTCATTGGTAGTACTTTTAAAGTACTTTTAAAGTACGTTTATGAAGGGAAATGCTTTCATAGAAATGTAATATCCTAATCATTTCCTTCAAAATTTCCTGGATAGAAATATGTATTTTGGTATATTTGGTGCTAAATTATAAGGGAAAAAGAGACTTAATGGTTATTTTCACAGTTAATTGGTCAGTTATTTGGTCTAAATAATGTCAGAAAATAGTCAAAATGCCATAAAGGTGATGTCTTAAAATAATTGGTTATAGTCAGAAACCCCAAAATATTCTATTTATAATCACATCAGACAAAGAAAAGCAGCAACTGAGAAGATAGAACTAGAAATGCTTTTCATTTCTGCATGAAAAATGACTTTAACAATTAATAAATCACCAAAATAGCTGCAAATGAATCGTCTGATCATTGAAGCTCTAGCGCTCAGTTGGTCTTCCAATAAATGAATTCCCACCACAGCAGCATCTTAAAAAAAATAGACAAGTATGTCACAACTCAACAAATATGAAGTTCTACTATTCAGAATAATAAATAATATGATAATAAATGATGAATATTTACTTGCATTCATTATTAAGAAATCACATCTTTACAGGAAACAACTCATTTAGAAATTGTGGATGCATAAAATAAAGCTTTAAAACAATTCTTATTAACATTTAACCAACTGAGGCTGGTGATCTTAACTCACCATACAGCTTCTTGTTACTATGACTATAAAGTTTTTTCCGCCGTAGTTGCCAAGTGACCATGGCTGTGCAGCAGTACATTAAATATATAATAATAAAGTAACAAGACACTGAAAAGAAAGGCAGAAAAACACAGACACTTTCTCTCAGATGACGTGCAGAAGGACATGTCATCATTCCCCTTTATTAGTTAATTAAATATCTGAAATGGACATGATTCAGAGAACATTATTTCATAACACGGTGAGGTCAGACAGCTGAGAGATGACTGTGTAATGTGAGTTTACCTCTGATGCCCACACACTGTGGTGGGAGCAACACAGCAACTTCATCAGGTGCAAAAAAAATTATTTAATTTATTGTTGGATGCTCATGAGATCAGCAGCAGCTAAAATAACTGACTTTCCTCCATCTCTGGTGTCAGATGAGTGTATAATATTCAATCAAATGTTATTTACATAGCGCCAAATCATAACAGAAGTTGTTATTGAGATGGAGTCCGTAATGTTTAATGGAGCAAATAAATAATAATAACTTCAGCTTGTCTGATACGTCTCATAATCTAATCTTATCTGTATGTCAATTATAAAAAAATGCTATGTTATTAGGCAGGCTACACCTATATATGACACCTCTGTATGCATAACTATTGATAACATGAACAATTTAATGCAATGTGACGCCACAAATTCAACATTTAAGAAGATTATGCTGCTCAGTTGTTGTCAAAGAGATGTTTTTTTTTAACTATATGTTTATTATTATTCTAATAGTCTTCCCACCTCCTGTGGGCCAAAAAAAACCCATAAGAAACTACCTCCTAATAAAACGTAATCCAGTTCAACATCACTGTTAATTACAACCTCGATGAAGCAAATGCAAAAAAATTCATAAACGGAAAAACTGATTATGAATTGTAATATTTTGTGGTATTCTTTGTTAATAAAAATCATGAAAACTTGAAGGTATATATCCCTATACACCCTCGTCCTGTTAGCGTCACAATTAAACTTCACACCCTGAGATTACTTTGTCGAAAATCTCTAGAAATGTGCAAAATACCAGAACGTTAGCTCCTTTTAGTTAGCAGTTAGTTATTATTTTAAGCCATGATACCTTACAGCTGTCATTAACCTAACATTTTTTAAGCTCATACTGATCTAGCTTACAATCATCTGCACAATTAAGTAGCAGTTATAATGGTAAATGATGCTATTTTCTAATTAAACTATGTTAAAAGCTCCTCATGTAGCTAACGATAGGTATGTTGTAGGTTAGCAAACTGTCGCTAAAGTTGCTGCACAAAGGCTCACACCTCTCCTGTTTTATATTATATATATATATATATATATATATATATATATATATTATAGCTAACACATCACAACAACAGCATAGTGGCAAACTACAAATGTCTGTGGGTAAGTCAATTAACCCAATTAACACACAAATCCCATCTGGAATAACAAGTTAGTGTTTGTGTGGTTTGAGCCACTTTGTTTACCAGTTATAGAGCCAAATAAAAAACAACAACAAATACTTAGAATCGCTTATCTTAACTTATCCCACTTTTAATTAAATTATAGTTTACTTACCACAAATATTGTCTGCCTCACAGGCTCCTGTGTAAATAGCAGTAACTTAAAGGAGCTCCCAGTTTCTTCTCTGTAGCTTTTAAACTGATGTCGGTTGCTGCACACAACTATAAAATACAGATGGACCGTCTACGTTTATCTTTTACTGATCTCAACTAAATTATACATTTACTTACTACTACTACTTTCTTCTATACCTCTGCTCCAGGTTTCTTTAATCTTTTTTTTATAATAGATAGATAGATAGATAGATAGATAGATAGATAGATAGACTTTATTAATCCCCGAAGGGAAATTGGGTCGTCATAACAGCCAGGTACATTAAAATACAATAAAATACAACAATAGAATAAAATACTTAGATAGAAAAGTTAGAAAAAGATAAATAGGTAGGTAAGATGCAAAGAGTTGTAGTTGCAAGATGGTGGTAATGATGACATGATGGTAGTGTTATTGTTAATAACAGTATATATAATAATAACAGTATATGATGATAATATTAATAATATTTATAATAATATAATAATAATATGTATATATAATATGATGACTGAACAGATACACATGTATACACATAGATATTATACATTAATATTGATATAATGTAAAAGATTAAACCCGTTCCTGGAGAGCCGATAATACTTCTTTTAATAATACTACTTTTACCTAAGTGTGGATTTGAATGCATAACAGTTATCCTAGTTTCAACCCCGGTATCATACCAAAGAGTGTAATAGACACACTGGTCCAATGTGGCATTGTCACATTTGCTTTATTTCAAAATAAAGCAACAATTTATTTCAAACTAAAGCAACAACTTGGTTGGCTTGAGGAGATTATCAGGTGTCTGACGAAGGTTAATCGTGCCTGCTGGTACTGGACCTTCATATATGTGTGTACTTAGGTGAGACAATACGTGACACTGACACAGTATCCTCTAGTCAGAAGTTATTTTTCTGACAACTTCTTATTTTTAGCTTCTACATTTTAACACGCACACATCTTCACTTTCTGCGTCTTTAGTTACAATGGATTTAATTGGAATTATCGATTATTTGAAAACAGTGCTCATACATGACAGTAACATGATGAAAATGCTGAAAATGTCCTTCAGAGAAACCAAGAGAGTACTTTTTTACTTTTATACTATAATATTGTAATTTCACTATTATTAAATTGACTACTCAGACCTTCATATTTCTAGTGTTGTTTTTGATTGCATAACTTTTACTTGTAACATCACCCTATCTGAGTATCCGCTCCTATATGGATACTATATATGACGTATACATATGTCTACAGAACACGAGAAAACAACGTGTTTTTACAACAACGTGATTAAATCAGAAAATCTCCTGCATTACATTTAAATGTTCCAGTTCCAGTTTTCCTGGTATTGTGGATGCTGCCTCATTGTCATGACTTATTAATACAGTTAAATAGACAATAACCACCATCTGTGTTATTAGACCCACCTCTGCTACGACAGGTGAAAATGTCTGCAGTGAAACGTATTATTTCCAATCTCAGAAGAGCATCCAGGGTATAAACACAGCGATTAATGACCACTTGTCAGTGTGACAATCAATTAAAATACTTTATAGTGTTTAAAGTGCTCGCTGCACTGTAGTTTAATTAGGGTCTTGTCTCGTTTTGTTTGGCTTTAAGCAAGCAAGTTTGTGTTACGTTACAGGAAGAAGAAAGAAAAAGAAGACAATGTACAAACACAGGGAGAATTAAGTACCACAAAATAACAGTTAAAAAATCTAACAAAAGTGGTTTCACAATGATTTTTTTTAATGATTATACACTGATTTGGTTTCTGAGACTTTGAATTAACCTTTTTAGTTCACACGTCTTCCCTTTTTCTCCTTCCTAAAGCTGGGTCAAGGAAGGAAAAAGCATTTTTTTCCCTTGTGGATTACTGTTGGCTACATGTCAACTCCACACTTAATTAAAAAGGTACATGAAGAAGTACACTTTTTGTTTTAAAATATGGCGCTCAGGTGCAAGAACTTCAAACTCATAATGAGACAAATTGTGGTTCACGCAGGAAATATTTTAATGTGCAACGTCACGTTTCTTCAGCGTACTTAATGTCAAACCCAGAGAACACACAGGTGGCGGTGATACACGAGCACCGAACTGATTATTCAACGAGATGCATCTGGTGCTATTAACAACAGCAACAATAAGATCTCAGCTCTGCAATTCACAGTTTATGAATCTTTTCCCACATAAGTACAACTCAAGAGTTTCGTGGCTTTGTG